TAAGGGGGGGGCACAATGTTGCCAAGGGGGGGGTCACACAATTTTTTTTCCGGGCTGAATGTGCCTCCACCTACACAAATGCTCTCGTACGCCCCCTATGAAAGAGTAAAAGACTGTAAATATGTGTCTTTAATGTCTCTGCAAGATGAACAGTGAAGACGGAAAAGATTTGATGTTTGTATACAACCGTATGCAGTCAAAACATAAACAAACAAAATCTTAACACAGCAGACGAAACTCTTACAGATTACACCTTTCTCCGTATGTATCACTATACTAAATCAAAGAATTATTTAAAAAGACGATATCGAATTCGTCATTGAATTCCCATGTTTATTGGGACACCCTGTATTAGCGCCGTAATTGCAGCATCTTTTTATAGGTGCGATCCTTAAAGCAGTGAAGGAGAGTATCTGAGAACTAAGGAAGACGACATCTTTGAGATTGTTCTCCGATCTCGAGGAATCTAAACGAGTTTAAAATCCTGGTTTACTTAAGATCATTATATTTATCTCTCGTTGACAAATCTCACCTTAACAGGACAACGTAGCACATGACGTTCCTTAACATTAGCCCTCGTAGATCAGCAGAGATCCAGTTCAGAGGTAGCTGTTGATCGGAGGGGTTAGCGCTTCAGATCATAAGAAGAAGGTAGAGAGATCATCTTCACACATCAAAGATCATCATTAAGGGGAACTACGGTGGTGGAAGACGACCAGACAAGTCTCGACAGGGTTTTCAAAGGGGAAGACGACCTCTGTAAACATCTCACCAGTTTGAGAGAATTCGTCTATCAGATCAATTAGACGGTGCATATGAACAACAGGATGGAGACGATCCTGAATACATATGTTTAAGGTATTTGACTGCATCTGCATAATAATAACTGATGATGGTTAGATTTAAGGTTTTTAGGCTCTGGTTATAGGATTCACAATTATTCATCTGTAGATTTATGAAGATAGTAGAATTGTATGATTGATATTGTAGATGGTGGATTGTAGGTTGGAGAAAATACATTGGTACTAGATCTATTCAACCATTATATTACATAAGTACAAATAATTGAATTGTTAGCTCAAGTCCTTTTGTCATAAATTAAAAGTTGCTTTTAAAGATGTTCATAAACCTCGTTCAAAACTGAGACCAAGAGACTTTGGGACTAATGGGTTCATTCAACCTATTCTCCGTCAGAAAAAGACGATATATAGTTTTTCTATTCTCAATAAGATAAAGAATTTATGTAAAAAAAGCTCATGATTTACATTCTCATGGTTTGACAACGATAAATCAAAATTCTAAGACTGAGCGAAGGTTTCTTTTTTTAGCAATTCCATTTCGTAACCAGATAAGATTGTTGATCAAATCTTGATACGAATGTTAATAATTATTGATATGAATGTTAGGGTTTGATTCAAATGAGCAGAAGTTTTAATTATGGATGTAGTAAACGCCTACTCCATAACAATTTCTTGAAATGTATCTATCCAGGTACTTAACTCAGATTCTCTTGACTATGAATGTCAACACACGGCTACAATCCTGTGAACTATCAACGCCACTAACACTGGGCTCACTGGGCATGATCTCTTCAGCTATTGGTGTCAATAGGGACACTAGCTATAAATCTAGCTCTAAATGTCACTGCAGGGACACAAGCATAACTATCAAAGAAGCTCTTAATCAATCTATACCAAATACCGAGGTATGATTTCAGCCTGTATGTTTCAATGAGGACGCAATTACTCTACACTGTAATCAAAGCAGAGTTTCTATATTAACTAGTTTAATTTCGGTTTATATGTTACAAGTTAAAGTTAATAGACATAATTACAATTCCTACAACTTTATCTATATCACATGATTATGGCAATCATGTTATGTATTACATCACAGTTGAAATCGGCGCAATTAAGATGAACATCATTATTTATCCCATGATTTAAGCTTATCATGCTACGTATTTAATCGAAACATAGTTTCAAGGAATAACTGCTGCAACGATTAATTGCTCAAAAAACTTGTGGAATTATCTGCTCTGATAGCTCAATATTTGAACTTTACTATGACATAGAAATAATATCTCTTCCTTTACTTTAATGAAATTTCAATGACGAGAAATTGATTTCACTAGCTATCTTGTTAAGTTTTCGAATTATTTTGGTTCTTCCCGTAGTAGATTTTATTTTGTGTTTTAAGAAGAAAGATCTTAATGGTCTAGAAAGTATTTTCAAGCAAATCAATTAATTGTCTGATGTCTCCTAGTCGTTTTTAAATCTATATTTATATTTTGTGTTAATCCATTAATTGGGCTCGCGGATAAATCCCTCTTTCGCTAAAATTTTGCATTTGTTTTTAAAAATTCTGTATGTTTTGCAAAATATTTGTTTTTTGCATAATTTCCATTTTTCGCAAAATTTTTGCAGAATTTCCATTTTTCGCAAAATTTTTGCAAAAATTTTGCATTTTTTTACGAAATTTTTGCATTTTCTATTTTGCATTTTATTACAAAACAAATTGAAGCAAAATTTTGCAAAAAAACTCAAATTTTCCCATTAAATGCAAGCGAATGAAATGCAAAAATGTAGCAAAATGGTCGCGAAAAAGTTGCGAAAATTCTTCAAAAAAGACTAAATTTTGAGAATACAAGACTCATTTTCAGAGAGGGATTTATCTGCGAGCCCAATTAATGGAAATTGTTCATGAGTTCATTGTCAGCAGCAGAGATATTGAATATAGAAACATTTAATGAGCTAAACTTCCTTGCAACAAACTAGAAATATCAGACAGAATTAAAAAAAAGCCGAGACTACTTCTAATAAAATTATTTTGAAAATATCAAAAATAAATGTTGGAGTGTTGTTTCCCACTTGGGGTTTTCGGGGTCCTGGAATCCCCCTTCCCCCCCCCCCCCCCAGTGGGAGGGTCCCGGGGATCCAAGAATCCTAAAGTGGGAAAAATTGGAATGCTGTAATACTATTAAATAATATTGTACAAGTTCGTAATTATCTTTTATAAAACCCTTTTGAAATTTAAAATATAAATTGTTAAAAATTATATGCAAATATAATTTCATATATTTTTTTTCTATACCATACTTAAAAGGCTGACTATCCGTCCTGTCAAACTTCCAAATTCACAAAAAAAAATCTTTGAGTCTGAAATTGTTAATGGAATTTAAAAAATATTTTTTGTTAAAAATCTAATTCAGTTTAAATTTTACTATATTTTGAATTTAATGGTATTTTAAATTATAATTTTAAAAAATAATAAACATTTCCTGTTTCAGGTCCTTTTCGATGTACATAACCAATGCAAACCAGAATTATATTGTTAATTTAATTTATTAAAAATATTTCCCATGAGACGCTAGGATGGCCATTTTATGTACAGGGTGTCCCAAAAAACATGGGAATTCAGTGACGAATTCGATATCGTCTTTTTAAATAATTCTTTGATTTAGTATACCTAATGAGAAAGCTGTAATCTGTAAGAGTTTCGTCTGCTATGTTTACAATTTGTTTGTTTATGTTTTGACTGCATACGGTTGTACTTAGTAAAACAAGAAAATTGCAGTATACAAACAGAGTAAACTTGTCCGTCTTCACTGTTCATCGTGCGGAGACATTATAGACACATCTTTACAGTCTTTTACTGTTTTCATAAAATAAACTCTAGCAGACATAATAATATTATTGCTTTTGAAATTAGGTATTACAATGCTAATTCATAACAAAGACGATATCGAATTCCTCACTGAATTCCCATGTTTTTTGGGACACCCTGTATTACTATTAATGTGTGGTATTCAAGAGTATCCAATTCATGAATCCATCCTTACCATTCCTATCCAGATTGGATCAACAATCAAATGCAACAAGTATCCAATTCATGAATCCATTCTCAAAATTTGTATCCAAGGTTATAACTTTTACTCATTTGAATCAAACCCTAAAATTCGTATAAATCCTTACCATTCCTATCCAGTGGATCAATAATTAAATCCAACCTGTATCCATATCATGAATCCATTCTCAATATTTGTATCCAAGGTTATAACTTTTACTCATTTGAATCAAACCCTAAAATTCGTTTAAATCCTTACCATTCCATCCAGTGGATCAATAATCAAATCCAACCTGTATCCTTATCATGGATCCATCCTCAATATTTGTATCCAAGATAACTTTTACTCATTTGAATCAAACCCTTATATTCGTATCAATCCTTAACATTCGTATCCAGATTGGATCAACAATCAAATCCAACCTGTATCCTAATTCCTAATCATGAATCCATCCTCAGTTTTAATCAAACTTAACATTTTTATCCATACTTCTTAACATTGTATCAAGATTAGATCAAAAATCCATCATCAACATCCTTATCCAGGATTATAACTTTTGCTTATTTGAATCCATCCTTAACATACGTATCCAGGTTGGATCAACAATCAATCCAACATGTAGATCCTAATCGATCCATCCTCAACATTTGTATCCAAGATTATAACTTTTACCCATTTGAATCAAACCATAACATTCGTATCAATACTTCTTAACATTTGTATCAAGATTAGATCAACAATCCATCCTTCTGCTTATTGGATTCCAAATATGGATTTCAGTTTTTTAGGCCCCATCGGATGCTGAGGAGGGTGAGATCACCCTTTTAAAGAAAAAAATGTTAAGCCCCCCTTGAACAAAATCCTGAAAACGTCCCGAAAACGTCCCTGCCCCCTATTCTATCTACGCGCCTGAAAAGAAAAAAAACATATATTCTATTATTATAAAGGTTTCTGCAGCTTCTTTTCTAATAAGCACGGGTCTTCCACAGGTTAGTGTTCGAAGAAAATTATATTTTTAAAAATTAATATCATAATTCTAAACTAATGATTTAGTTTACAAACTTTTTGATTTTTAAGTTTAAAATTATTGATTTATCCCTGTTTAAGAATCAGCTGACAGCCCCCGGCCTCCTTTAAACAGTACACTGTATTGAATTATCGGGCCGCAGTTGCTATCTTACTATGGCTCAAGACACAGATGAACCCCCCGGGACTTCGCGATTATTTCGCATATTTGTGATATTCATGCTTGTCAGCAAGTGCACAGGGCTGCCGGCCAAAGTGACGAATTTGTCTGTAGTGCGCTATGATCGGGATGGCATGGCCGAAATTGAATTTGAGTTTATTAGTGATTTTGATCTGAAGCTCAAAACCTTGGAATTCGCTGTCAACCTCATCAAGGAAAATTAAATTTATAAAATCTCCATTTTTTGTTAGATTCTTGGTAATTGGACCCTTCCACCGGCCATGCCCCCCCCCCCNTAGTATTAATTTCTTTACTTCCCTTTCTTCAACTGCTAACTTATTTTTGGACTTTATAATTTTTGCAGTTTTGTAATAATATTTCTTTATTTAAGACTATTTACGCCACAATCAGGGCTGGGGAGTGGTAAGGTTTTACCTTTTCTAAATTAAAGTTTATTTTTGATTTCTTATTATTAAATTTGATGAATTCAGTGTACCCCGCCTTTTCTTGCTCAAACTTTTGTCAACATCTCCGAGTATACGCATGATGTGACGCATTTGTACGCAGACATACCAACCTCTAACCTGACGCAATTAAACCGAACCTTTACTATCTGCGTCAGAGTAAACTCTATGGACTGGACACGGGAGGGAAAACTTTATTTCCCGGCTGAAAACAGTAATTTTTATTTCCTGCCTGGGTTCGATGGTTCAGATGGATTCGAAAGTGGTTCAGATGGGTTCGAAAGGGGTTCAGATGGTTTCGATGAAGACAAAAAAGATGAAGTTATTACCTCGAGTGAATCAGAGCTAGGTAGGAGGATTTTTTTTAAAAACCCATACATTGACAATTTTTCATGAAAAGTTAAAATCTTCAGCATTTGTCCATTTTTTATTTTTCATCATTTTTCTCTTATAATTCTTTCCCAGTAGGCTTTTTTTATCAAAGAAAATTAATAAACATAAAATACCACGTCCATTTTGATCTAAATATTTATCTTACAAGTTCTTTTAAATTAACATTTTTTGATTTTATCAGATCAAGGGAAAATATAGTAATGTTTTCCGGAAGCAAATGGAAAGGGGCGCGCAGCGTCTATAATTATGTACTTTAAAATTGAACATAAACTTTAGAACAATATGCTAAATATTAATTTATGATAAGAAATTTTTCTGCAACAATTAGTCTTCAGCAATTTACCGTCACAAAAGTTCATAAAAAAAATAGAAACCTCCATGTCTGATTCACAACTTTTGTCCGAACTAGAAAAACTTGCTTATTTTATTTTATTACGAGCTTTCTTCAAAAGTGAAATGCAGATTTACACTTCAGAGAGATTAAACACTTCTAAGGAAAACGACGATATCTTCCTTATTATATCTCAGACAACGGTTAAACAATATCCTTGTATATCGGTCATTATACATTCCACATTCCACATTATACATTATACATTCCACATTATTCATTATACATTATACATTCCACATTCCACATTATCATTATACATTATACAGTATACATTATACATTGTACATTATACATTCCACATTATACATTATACATTATACATTATACATTATACATTATACATTATACATTATACATTATACATTATACATTATACATTATACATTATACATTATACATTATACATTATACATTATACATTATACATTATACATTATACATTATTTCTTGAAATTACTGTCAATTTATCAACTGATGTGGTTAAAAATTTAATGCTGTACTGAAGATTAATGAAGTTGCTTTCTTTGACATTTGGAAAGAATTGTTTAATTTGTATTTCCGCAACCATTTTTTATACAAATGCCCAGGGGTATAGTTTCAAGAATAAAAGGGGGAAGATGGGGATGGGTGGGGGGGATGGTTAATACTCGGGGAAAAGTGAAAATATTGACTTATGATATTTTTTCATCCTTTGATATTTTTTACCCAAAAATTCATTTATTTTCCCCAATTTAACAAATAAAATAAAACTGATGAATTATTTTAAATTTTGGGGAAATATGATTTTTAAATAGGTGAGGGATTTTTTTTTCAAGGAATTGCAGGCAAAATAAAACCTTAAACATGATTTAAAAACGTTAATCAAACATCTATGTATTGTAGATATGATTATGTATTTGTAGATATGATCTATGTATTGTAGATATGATCTATGTATTGTAGATATGATTTTTCCCAATTTAACAAATAAAATAAAACTGATGAATTATTTTAAATTTTGGGGAAATATGATTTTTAAATAGGTGAGGGATTTTTTTCAAGGAATTGCAGGCAACATAAAACCTTAAATATGATCTAAAAACGTTAATCAAACATCTATGTATTGTATATATGATTATGTATTTGTAGATATTATCTATGTATTGTAGATATGATCTATGTATTGTAGATATGATATATGTATTGTAGATATGATCTATGTATCTGATGATCTATGTATTGTAGATATGATCTATGTATTGTAGATATGATCTATGTATTGTAGATATGATCTATGTATTGTTTAAATAGTCGAATTAGTTAAAATTACTTAATTTCATGTGTATTTGGGTTTAAACAAATTGTTGTGTACTTCTTTAACCATGAGCTCAATTTTAATATTGCTTATGCTTCGAGCAGAGAAATAAACATATTGTCAAAGAAAATGTCCTTGATTTGTTCAAGTAATATATTGTCAAATTTGTCTTGAGGTCTGAGACTGCATAATATGCCTGGCCTAGCTTTTAGTAATACATAAAAGCACGAAATTTCAGTATTTTGTTGCATTAATACTTATTTGGGGGGCGGGCGAGGGGGGGTCGGCTCAGCCCCATAACAACCCCGGCCCCTGCCAAAACTTCAGGTCCCATTCAATGCACTGGGGTCATGGTGGGGGAATATGTTGCTTAAAATAATAATTTATGCCTGACTCCCCATCCACTGTATAGAGTTGCCTAAATAGCTTTGCATAAAGCTATTCTCTCAATGATTAAAGGGCAGTAGGGCTTGGGAGGGGGGTGGGGGTGGTAGCGTAAACTTTTCTTAATCGATCAAACTTTAAAATATTACAGATTTTTTTCGCGTGCAATATTTCAATTATCCCCCCCCCATCCCCCTTGGAAAATATCAAAAGCCGCCCCTGGGGTTTTAGTAAAAAATAATACATATATAGTTTTCCCTTATTTTAATGAAATTAAAAATTATTACTAAATACCATTGAACCATAAAATTAAATTATAGTAAAATTATATTTTTGCGTAACTCACTTTATGTAATCTTTATATTGAAATATAAATAGATGAATATCTGTAAAAAGTTCACAAATTCTAGGAATTCCAATATTTTTATTTCGAAGCTGAATATAAATTTCATTTTTTTCCATTGACTAATTTCTCAGACTTGCCTAGATCTTAATTGGTTTAGGGGGGTGGTTAGTAAGAGCTAGAAAATTGATAAAATAGTTTATTATTGCATTTCGATTCTTATTAAATGTAAATTTCATTATTTTTGTTTTGTACATATACACTTACNCCAGCGTTGCCCAGGGTACTCTATAGTTACTCCCGCCGTTTGGCTCCAGATTTGAGCAATTTTCCCCTATAATAGTGGACCTACTCAACTTAAAACATTCGCGTTGGTCGTTTAAAATTAAAGGCAAATCGGTCCAGAGGTTCCTGAGTTATGATCAGACAAACAAACAGACAAACAGAGATTACAACTTTATATATATAAGATACATTTATAGTTACGAGTATATACCACTGCTTAATATATGCACTAAATAATAAAAGTAGCGTGAACTTATTTCACAAAATACTTAACTTAGAATAGGTATAATTGTTGTAAACTTGTTCTTAATTAAATCATGTTTATTGTTATAGTTATTATTGTTTTTGTTGTTGTATATAGTTATTTTATTATAACCAATAGGTTGTAATTTTTTAGTGACAATTTACATTCTTCATTCTAATAAACAAGACTTTATCCTTTATGCAGAACTTAGTGTCCGGATCTTTTACGTAGTGTTTACTTTTCGGATCCGAATCTATCTACTGTCCGGATACGGCTTTCTATCTAGTGCTTAGTGCCCGGATCCGGATCCTTTACGTAGTGTTTAGTTTCCGGATCTGGCTCACTACCTAGTGCGTAGTGCCCGGATCCGGATCCTTAACGTAGTGTTTAGTTTCCGGATCTGGCCCTCTATCTAGTGCTTAATGCCCGGATCCGGATCCTTTACGTAGTGTTTTAGTGACCGGTGATTCATTTCCCCCCAAGGATTCGTATCCGCAACATAATATAATGGTTCCTAACTTCATGCTTTTAAGATTTTCATTTTCATATTTTTTAGAAAATAATTGTAAAAAAATTATGTAAATGCCCATGCCCCACCCCATGGCTAATATTGAATATTGGTCTGGTTAATTGATCAATGTTGGATAAGAATATTATTTACTAGATTTCCTAAAGAAAACTTTCTTGTGCTAACACGAAATCCAAACTATTGGCTACAAACAGGGGTATATACCCCCCCCTTCCAAAGTTTTGATGTTTGTTATGGTATTTGTGTAAATATTAAATACTACTTACATTTTGAGTTCTTATTTATAATGTAATCTCCGTTTGTTTGTTTGTATGTCCGATCGTAACATAACCCCTGGACCGATTTGTCTCAAATTTTGATTCTGGAACTCGGTAGAACCACGGGGATGTTCTTACCTAGGGTTTAAAGTACTTATTTACAAAGGTTGACTATTATAAAGGAAACTTTGTTTCAAGGCAAAGCTGGGTTCCCATGCTAGTATTTAATATTTTATTACAAAATATAACAATCTAGTTGAGAATTTAATTTAGGAGGGTTGAGGGGGGTGAAGGGTTGTTCACCAACTTTTTACAAGTGAAATCCTCCGTTTTATTCATTTTTTTATTTTACTTTTTTATTTCCTTTCAGATAATTGTTTTTTTATTTTTGTGAAATCCTCCTTTTTTAATTTTTTTGATTTTGATTTTTTTATTTCCCTTAAAATAATTGTATATTTTTATTTTTGATTTTAAGTATCCAAGGAACCTGTATGGATGTGTCCACCTATGCACCAAACCAGTTTCCCCCCCCCCCTGTATCTGATCATTCCTCATGTTGTCTAACTTTGGAATTTACAGGGCAAAATATGAACTTAGTCCTTGAATTTGATTGCTCTACATTAAAGATAAATTTCAAATTAATTTTTTAAAATTTATTTTTACAAAGAAAATTAGACACTGTATTTTTTGGGGGGTCATTGTAGTCAAAAAGGAAACCTAGCGTTTCTTTACTTCATACTTCATACTTCTTGCTATTGTTTATATTCACTCTGGATTTTTTTTTCACGTTGAAAGTTGTTTCTCCTTATTTTTTGTCATCCTTTTCATCAGACATTTTTTGTTCATGTTTCAATTAAAATATTTTTTTTTTTGGAAAATTATCAGTTTTTATTTCTTGTCCATTTTTATTTACCTTTTTGGCGTATTGCAGTAAATGTAGAAATTAAACTACTAAATTCTCCTTGATTACTCTGTTGTTCTCTATCCAGACAGAAAACTAAATCATGACGTAAGTAGACCTTGTATCTCGTAACAATTCTCCTTCCTTAAATTTCGTTTCCCTCATCCCCCCCCTCCTTTAAATCTAGCCCCTCCCCCCACCTTTTTCTTTTAGGTTAAACTTTTCTTACAGACCCCACCTCCCCACCTATTTCCCTTCTCATTGTCCTACTTAATAATCCTCCTTTCTTTTCATCATTATAACTTTTCTTCCCCCTTCCCCTCCTCTAAACTTCTGCTCTTTTTGCTGCTTCTCCCCCTTTCTATATTTTTTTTACTATTATAATTTTAATATCTAATAACCTTGGTTTGTAAAAAATACTTTTTAATTTTGCACTTTATCTATGTAGTTCAACTGCGTCTCATATTCTTTTTTAATCTAGTCCAGGCATACATGAAACACTGTTAAATTGTCATCAAACTTTGATGTTAAATTATGGAAAAAGAAAATCTGATATAATTGTTTTTGCTATTATTTCCAACTGTACAAAAGGTTTGTTACAGAAAGATTATCAGCAAAAAGCTAAGATAGATATTTGAAAATTGGATTTTTCTTCTTCTCAAATATACTGATGTTTCCTAAAAAAAATTATTTTAAATCTGTAGGAGATAATGCCTGAAAGTTCTATTTTGGCAAACAAAATTTACTTATTAAAACTTGCATTGGGAAAATTTTTACAGAAAATGTATCCCTTTGTCAGATTTTTGTAAATTCCCCCCCCCCCCCATAGAATTCATCCAAATTTCTCTTATTAATTTTTACTCTTGAATTATCACTTTCTCGACGCGTCTTTAACTCAATTTCCCTTTCAGTTTTATTTCACTTTCATTACAGTTAACTAATTTGTTATTTTGTTGTTTTAAGATTTGCACACGTTGATAAAATTATTATTTAATAATAAAACTCTTGAACTTGATGCCTTATCCTTCATGTCAGCTCTAATCTTATACTATAGGTGATCCTTTGTATCAAATATCCATATACCAAGCTGATAGCAGACATGTCCTGAATAAAACATGACGCTGCATTTATTGAAAATATTTCAAAGATTTTCTATTTTTCGCGCAGATTTTTCCTTCTTTGTAATACATTATTCTTTGCATTTTCTTTTGAATTTTATTTAATTGATCTTTTTCATTTTCAAAGAGGAAAGGAATGAAAAGAATATTATATTAAGTTTTAGAAAATATTTTTCTTTTATCAACTTTGTTCAACTGCAAACAAACATGTATGTTAGAGATGGGGTTAACACTGAGATACAAGAATTAGTTATGTCCTTAAGAGCCAAACAGACTGAAGTCATACTTTTTCATCTAAAGCAAACCACCGTTTTTGTTTTCAATTTGTTTTAATACAATATACATGAAATTAAGTACTGACCCCGAAGTTTTCCTATTAAATGTATTTCTATTATTTACAATATTTATAGTGCTTGGCATCTATTTTGTTGAGAAATCAGGTTTAAGTTAGATCACATCAAACAAACCCGTAATAAAGTTTCAAAAACTATTTTATCTTCACTGCCAGAAACTGTTATAAATTGTTGTAATTATAAATATCCATTTTTACATGTATTTCTTAGGCTTAATATTTAACATAATTTGATTCGATTTTTGAATTTCATCAAATAAAGATTTTGTTTATATTTTAATTCATGCAATTTTTAAAAAGAAATAATAATAAAATAGTTTTATTTCTAAATGTTAGAATTGAATGTCACGCATTCTCTCTCAAGTTGGATCAAGAGAAGGGAGAAATATAATTAATTAGTTAAGAGAAATAGAACAATTAATCTAAATCATTATTAATGCCTGTGTTCTGACGAAGCTTTAAAGAGAACCACAACAAAATGTCCTACCACAACCTTAACCAATTTAAACCCTCATAAATTCACTAAATATATCATTATTATTAAATCATTAATGTAAATATCTTGTTTTTAGACCTTGTAAACTGAAATTTTCTAATCCTTATATTGTTGCAACATATTTTACAACATATTTCATACTTAGATTTTTTGATCTTAAAAGAATTCATATTTTGAAATATCAGATGTCCATGACATTGGGTTGCAAAGATATAGAGATTACAAAATCAGATTTTGTGGCAAAGACTCAACAAAGTTTTGGTTAACACGTATTTAAAGTTTTTTCTTTTAAATGATATTGAAATTTGATTAAATTCTACTGTTAGAACAATGCCTTTCAAGTTAAAAGTATTTCTGACTTTTTTATTCGGACAAATTAAATACCTTCTCCATGTTAAAGGAATTGAGTCTTTGTAACAAAATCAAATATTTAAACCCCAATATCTTTAGAACCCAATGTTGTAAACCTTTGATATTTCAAACTCTGATTATTTGATTTAACAGAATTCATAGTTTGAAATATCTAAGGTCTACAACATTTGGTTCCAAAGATATAGTGATTAGAAAATCAGAGTTTGTGGCAAAGACTCAATTCCTTTGTATTCGCATTTAAAAAGAAAATTACATTAAACCTAGTGTACACTGTACAGTGTACAATGTACAATGACATGTTTATTCTCTATAGACCCCGTTGTGAAAATAATCTTCAAACTACTTAAAACAAGTTTATTATTCCAAAAAGAATATTTTATTTTATTCCATAATACTCTCTTCAATTAATTTAGTTGTTAAACTCAAATTTAAACTTGAAAATGTTTGTGAATTTGCATGTTAATGTCCAATTATTCACAAGGTCACTGATTAGCAATAATAAAGTTATCGTCGATTTCTATCTTGTAAAGGGTTAAATTCTGACAGTTTCCTTCGTTGTTTCTGCAGCTTTAGGTAAAAAATCATTTACCAATGATCAGACAAAGGTTAAAGGGTCGGTTCGGTTGTGTTTTTGGTTTGCCAGAAATGGATGTTCACTTTAAATTACGTCTACACTCTACAGTTCATGTAAACAAAGAATTTGTTTACAGTTTCACCGATAAACAAGTTTAGTTGGTATTTCATTGGTCAAAGCTTAATAAAAGATTATCCAATTAAAGAGTAGTCAGACTCAATCAATCTTACATTGACCAAAGCATTGGTGATGAGAACATATATAATAATTAACTATATTAAATAAACAATAAAAATTGTTCTGAACTTATTTCAAAAAGATGTGTAAAAATATATATTTTAGCAATATAACAACTCCATTTATAATTTCCCAGCTCTGCTTTTTAACCCTTCTCATTTTCCTGCAATCTGTTAATCCTTCTCTTCGTGTTTTAAACGGAAATGGTCTTTGGAAATAAAACTTGTTTTTAGTTTTTTTCTTCTTCATATTATCATAGGTTTTAAATGCCGGCCAAATGTTACGATTGTATTGTTCAGATTTTAGTAAAAATTTGTAGATTTTACATTTTGCATTTACAATCTTTTATCTAAATTGGCAAATTAATGAGATTGGTAGGTACTTCTCTTGTAGATTTTACTTTTTGCATTTACAATCTTTTATCTAAATTGGCAAATTAATGAGATTGGTAGGTACTTCTCTTGTAGATTTT